TACCTGGGACATAAATTTCCTGTCTCTTAAACTAATAAGCAAAGTATAAATAAATGGATAAATTTGCAGATATACATTTTACTAAGCCTCAACTAAAAAAAATACTTTGCATTGAAGCTAAGCTACGTTATTGCGAAACCGATGGGTGACAAGCACATTTTACTACCTACAAAAATGGGCGGTAGGGATAAAATGGTTGACTACCCTGGATTAACTCTATACCATATATACATGGGGATTTTAGCAGTATTTAAGAGGATGCAGTGCGGTTTTTAAATAACGTTACATAGTCCGTTTTTGCGATGTCTGAACGTGTTGGAAGTAAATATCGGACATCTATCTCAAACTATGCAAAAATTAACCGAAGATTGATTGAGGATTTGCTAAAAAACTGTGCATTCCAAGGGAGACTAACAAACGTTTATTTTCTTCAAAAGCAAAAACTGCTCTTTGACCATGCCCGGTCAAACAGTCTATAAACCTGACACGATCCTAAACTTCAGCTTAGCATAATTTTTTTTATTTCAAACTGCCTGCTTCTAATATTTTAATTTAAAAATAATATTGTGTCAGTAAATCACAGAGAAATTTTAAGTTGAAATAATTTAGTTTTCTTATTCTTTAAAATTTCTAGATTCTAATAAATATTTTAATAGGATTAATTTAGATGTATTTTTTACTTTTCCAGATTAAGTTTTAATTGAGCACAACAGAGCGATAAATTACCAAATATAGTAAAATTACTTATACTCAAAATGAAACTAATTTGAGAGTTAATATTTATTGCTCTTATAATCACTTCGTAATAGAACTTTTGTTCATTGGCCTTTTAGGCCTTTTTTATCAATTTATGAACATTTTAAAAAGATCTTTAAAGGGAATGTATTTTTTCATGTTTTTATTAAATAAATCTTTGATGAGGGTAGTAAAGACTTTTCGTTTCTACAAGAATGATACTGAGATGCCATCTATTCGCCTTTTAGTTTCTTACTACTACATTTCAAAATATCTAAAAATTCCAAAATATACCCATAGCTATAACATTACTGTTTTCTTTTCTTCATTTAAGATTAATTAACCAGGAGAGGAATGGGGACTAAGGTTTTATAAAATCTTGACTTTACAGATGTGCCTACATATTATGAAAGGTTTACATAATGGAATTTTTTATTTAAATCTACGAACATTCAAATTTCCTCACTACTTTTTGCTTACACAGAAAGTAATACATACCATCTCTTATTTTCTTCTTACTTCAATCTCATTTTCCTTTACTATTTTTAATACACTATCATTATTTTCTTTGAATCTCATAAGTTTTAATTAGCTTTTTGTCCATTTTTTTTCTTTTCTTATCTTTCTTTGAGTTATAGAATTTTTCCGCTACTCTCCCATAGGGCGTTCCGGAATCTTTTGGCTTTTGTATTCGGAGCTTTGTTTTATTTGATAACTTAAGTCATTAAATTTCGTAAAGTAAAATATGCTTTTATATCCATTGTTTTATTTCGTTTAGAAAAAATATGCAAATAATTATATGCCTGGCCACCGTTTTGAGTTAACCCTGTAGTTTAGAAGCATAAGAGATAGATATCCAGGAGAAAAAAAAATAAGTTTGAATTATTATTTTTTTAACTTGGGAATAAAAATATGTACCAAGGAAATTATAATTTAAATTAGTGGTAATCCCAAGTCATATATTCTGGAAGCTGAATGAAAAAAGGGAACGAAAGGGAAAATAAAAAAAAATAATAAATTTAAATCGGAAATTATGTTTAAAGCTTTATTTTGAATCTCTGCAGATTATGCTAATATAAAAGAATATTCCTCCTCAGAAATGTAAAATTCAGTACCTTGTTTCAGAATAGGAAATAGTGATATAAACATGAAAATCCGAAAGTTTTTAATATTTATTTAACTAATCTAATTTTAAGTTTGCTATATTTAGATTTGTACGGTTATGTAAATTAAGTCAGATCTGGAATAAAAATATGATATAACTGCTTCTTGTTGATTTTATCATTCTTTATTTTTCTTAAATATTGAGCTTTACGTTTTCCCAGTGAATTTCGGAATGTTTTGTATGATTATTGATTTTAATGCTTTCTTTATCGATATTGTCCATTCTCATAATTATTAATTTCATCTTTTTATTTTGGAAATTTGTTTAGAAATTATAAAAATTTGTTCAGCACAAACGAAACTTGGGGCGATAAAGACAATGATGAAAGTTAGCTAAAAACAGTGTGACTTAGCAATGCTATGAAATCTGAAATGTGACCCTTGCGAATTTTCCGAACACTACAGACTGGTGTAATAAGTGCTGATGAATTAGGAATATTGCGTAATTAAATGATAGACTTATCTTAAGTTGTAATAATTTAGTTTTGATTTTGGTTAAAATTTCTTAATTGTCATAAATATCTCATTAAATAAAAATATTGAGTTACAATAAATATATCATTAAATAAAAATATTGAGTTATCAGAAATATCTCAATAGGATTAATTTACATGTATTTTTTTATTTTTCAGATAAAGAATTAGCTGAGAGCACAAACACAGTAATTTTAATTATACTTTAAATCAAACTTGTCTGAGAACTTTATTAAATTACGTTTTAGAACAAACTCTAGGATTTGATAAAATATAACACCTTTCCATTAAAGCGGAATTTGGTACTACGAGTATTGTTGTCGAAACTATTTTCGTTTCCTAACTAGTTATGGCTAAATTTACCTGATTTTAAGTTTTCTGAATTTCTTTAATTTCTTAATTGTTTTTGCGGCTATTTAAAATAAGCATTTTACTTAATATAACTTTATGTGTCATTTTCTTTTAAACAATTAGCATTTTAAGCATTCTGGTAAGAATGATTTGCTTACACAGTCTGTACAAGGTTAGAAAAAATTAAAAAAGAGTTTTGATCTCTACATATTTAGTGTTTTCTTTCCAAGGTAAACATAAAATAAAGCCTCATTAAATTTAAGAATGATTTCTTAGTTCAAATTTTCAGGCAAACCATTTTAAAATAGCACATTTTAGTATTACAAGATAAGATTTTGCTTTTTATGAAGAGCTTGTGAAGTGCGTTCGTTAATTTTCTCAAATAATATAAGAAAATATCGAAATACTATTCAAATTTAAATATGTTCAAATATGTTTTTATTTCAGTGAAATTTTTACAAATGAATCACATTCGCATAGCTCCTGCGTAGAATTGTATAACTTAATTTTAAATTGTGTTTGTTAAGCTTCCAATTATTTTTATTGCCTCTCGAGTTAAGTTTGGAATTTAAATTCATGAGGAATTTTTCGAATTCTCTTAAGGGTACAGTACATTTATTTTGCGATTCATCAGAATTGCATATAAAGATGAGTTAAAAATGTGGGCTGGATTAGATTTACATATGGAAAGATCCTCGACTACAGGGTAATTTGCATATAATTTTATTCAAATGTTATTTATCAAAGTAGGAAATTTTAAGAAATTAAAAGCATTAGAGCAAATAGAGTTGATCCTTGAGCAATGCCGTTTGACAAGAAAAGGTATCGCATGCGTCATAAAAAATCCACGAATTTCTTTTAATTTTCAAATAGAAGATAAAATATCAGCTTATTGTTGACCAGAAGTTATCAATGGCAGATACCTAGTTCGCATATTATACATATATTATTAGTTCAAAGGGGCTTTGCTTCTGAATGACTATTGTTTTCGTTTTGCGATTTTGCGTTGAATCACTAATAATGTCCGTTTCACTTTTCAAACCAAATGTTGCCACCAAATGTTAGAGTCCTTTATTATAGTTGAAGAAATTAAATAATGAAAAATCTGCATAAATGTATGTAGATTTCTCGCATTGTGATAAAATAATGGTACGTAGAGCCATCATTTTGAATAACGCAATCCTCCTACGAATATGGGCCTGTGGAAGACAAATTTGAAATTTGGCAATTGTTTTATTTTCGATTTAATATTTTGTAAAACTTAACGAATTTTTGAGTAACAAACTCAAGTATTTGAAAGCGAGCAATAGCAACGTTGCACAGGGAAAAAAAAATCTACAGCGCGCAAGACTGTGTATCGGAAATTCTAAACATTCTAAAGATTCTAAAGATAAAAAATAATTTTGCGACATTGGTATTGAACTGAAATTTATGGTTTAAGTGCGAAGAGCATGATATTTAATAAATAAAGTAACACACAAAACGTTAAAAAACGCCCCTTTGTATATAATTTAAAATCTAAAATCTTTCAGATTTTTTTTTATAAATCATACTTTCAGTAAAATAAGTTAAGGAATTAAAATGATTCTGCATATATCGTAAGGATTAAAATATATGTGCTGTGATTTAACGGCACCTAAATGTTCGCTTCATCTTTTCAAATTGAATTATTAATTGGGCACTAAATGATACAATAAGCTGTAGATGTTAAAGGTTAATTTAAAGGGTTTATACATAGGAATCACTGTAAAGCTTTGGCCTCATTCCAAACTCGAACTCGATAACCTTTAACTTGCAGGTTGAATGAGTTAATTCACACAGAAACGACAAGAAAGACCTTTAATTCTTTATAATGCTGTATGCATTGCTAATACAACCATTAATGCAAAAAAAGTTTTAATAGTCGTGTTTATGCTCTATGAAAATAAGTGATAAAATATGTCATTGTTTTAAAACATTTTACACGTTCTTCACAACATAGGCAATTTTTTCTTTATTTTTAAAAATACTTCTGGGCTGTGCGATTTGCATGTAATATTTTCGACGTATTGCAAAACTTGGAAAAAAATCTATATATTTGTTGAAAAGTCCACACGCGGGTACAGTGTTCAGAGGTTCATTGTTCAAGGGTCAGTTACAATTTTTTGTTTTTTGTTTTTAAAATTTAAAAATAATCAGGTACCTAGCTTGTTGAGCTTTATTAATATTCAGAACGATTTTCACGATAAACAAAAAAAAGAGCTGATATAGAAATGTGAGGTCAAGGTGGGATCTCACCTGAACTGCATTCGCCGCTGAAGATGATCCTCAGACTCCTTCTAGATTTACAGGACTCCACCCGAAGTGTGCATTCGTTGATGTATGTTTTTCCATCTGATCCACAAACAGGCCTGAAGTCAGGAGAACAGATAGCGTTGCACCTACAGATCGGATTTCTGTTGTTATCCAGTTGGCATACCTGGGAAGCTGGACATTCCACTTCTTCGCACGGGTCTGAAAAGGAGAGGAAAGAAATAAGGAAGGAAGAAAGAAAATGTCAAGCTGCTATATAAGAAGCCAATTTAGCAAAATGTTCTCAGCTGTATCTGATTGCTTCTATTCTTAAGGCTAATTTTGAAATAAAGCCAATAAATTTTAACATGATGCAGTAAACTAGAACATATGATAAAAAATTAACTATGAATGATGAATGTGAAAATGTAAAAAAGAAAAAAAAAATTGAAGAATACTACAGTGCCCACTCATCAACGCGGGTCATGGTGCAAGAAAAAAATCAGCACGAAAAACGTCATCCCCTCGAATCAAAGTGACTATTCGAAATTAAAATTCAAAACCATATTTACACATTTACACATTTCAGTCAATAGCTATATAAACGTAAACTAAGAAAAAAATTGGAAAATTAAAAAAATGCTATTAGTAATACACAAAATAAAGCGCATACGCTAGTATCTGTGAATGCATATAATATTCAAAAATTACCTTAAAAGAAACAAGAAATTTTCAACAAACTCTCAGCGGTTTTCTTTATCTATTTAATTGCGGTAATTTAAGCTTTAAATTGCGGATGATCATATGGTTTCAATTCAGTTCATATTTTCTTTTTATTTCAAGCTCTTGCCTCGAAGTATTCAAATGTTTCTAATGTCTACTAATATGAATGTAAAATTTTCAATTGATTATTTTCTATCCGCATTCTCCATTTGTTTGAAAGTGAAATTCCTTTCATAATCTTCTTCCGCCTGATACAGTTATAATTGTGAGATCGCTTTAGTTTTAGTACAGGTTTTAAGCAACATCTCTCATATAACATCCAAAATCGAAATATATGAGTCAGTTTCATAACCAGGGAATAGTTTAAGTATTTTTTAACTATGGAGAATATTATATGTGTTTTGGTAATGAAGGGTAGTCGAATTAGAATAATTTTTATAACTACAAAGCAGACGAAGACTATTTGCTCAAGGAAAGCAATTTATTCGATTCATGTTACATATTAACATTAAAGAACATTAAAGAAGTGTATGATATTAAATGCGTTGTAAGGATTATGTTAATTTTATTAACAGTTACATTTTAAGTTAAAGTTCCATTCCTGTCAAATTCTAACTTCAACTTACTACTTCCGGCCAGAACGTATTTTTGGAATTTGCTGATATTTAATGAGAAGGAGCGGTATTTAAACCCCGAAGTTACTTAGGAGAGAGAGAGAGAGAACAGAGTTTGAACTACCCGTCTGCCTTTTGAACGCTCTCTCTCCAAGTTGTTTTACGCTGCCGTAGTCAGCCCTTGCTAAGTTGTAGTAAAAGATTAAGGGGCCAACTCTAATTGAACTTAGAGCTTTGGCTATACTCAGTTAGTTAATCTTGTTTAGTTTAATTCTTGTCTTTAAGTCAGTCCAAAGTGCGGCCTTATTTGTTAACTCCTGCGGAGGTTTGTAATTTATAGAAATAAGGGTTATTTACCTTCTCTCTTGTTTTTTCCTGTTTCGAACTCTAGCGATTATTCGCTTATCAGTTCCTAGGTTCCTCACTTCCAACATTAACTTAGAATTCCAAAGTGAGGTACCTTACAACGTGTAAGTGCTATGAAAAAATTTGAGTAATGGAACTGCTATTATCATTTTAAATGGCGAATAAAATAATATAATTCCAAACTGAGTATTGTGAACATGCAATAAATACTCTGTTTAAAATGTCTCAAGTACGGGTGGGCAGAGGGACCACACAGTAATTAACTGTACCGTAATAAGTCTATAAGGAGTGCTTTTATATTACCTTAATTACGTTAATTCTTACGAGTTTTCTCAAAAATGTTGTAAAGCATTTTACGTTAATCACCCAATTATTATAGTCTAAATCTTTACCATAACACTCTCCTTTTCCTTAGTCCTCATCAGAATGCAAATTAATTGGCAAGTGTTTTGAATGTTTTAGTATAGAGCTTTTGGTAGCGTCGCCTGCAGTTTACGCTATATCGCTCAGCTCTGTCAGTGAATATTCCGGTGTCAGCCATTTCGCTACCCGACGTAAAATGCACCATTGACCAACTATTGAGCCAACTTAAGTAGACAACAATGTGTAGTCTCCGATTACGTTACCTTTTAAAATCAAACTTTAAATACTCTAAGTAGCAGTGTTGTGATTCTACATACGAGCTATTCATTCTGTTTGAATTTAAATAGTTAATAAAAAATTTATTTTAACTTTCTTAGACTTTCTCTTAATATTTTAGGCACATCAAAAATTCGCTTTTCAGTCAGAGTCATTTGATTTTATTTCTACAAAATAGGCTTCCATAACATTTTTTCTAAATGTTACATTATGATTTTATTTTTAGGTGAAAATTTCAACAACAATTTATATATTCGGCCCCACTTAATTATCATAAAGTTTTATAAACCTTTTCACGAATCATGTTACCTTACAAAATCATGAAATAACCTTACTGAAAGATCGATAGAAATTCTAAACTGTTTCCTAATGCATTTTCTGAGCACGGCACATCTTCTAACATGTTTCTTTTAATTATTACACTATTAAAATACACTTGGATAGTACAAAATGCTTAATATTTCAACAAATTTATCAAACAGTTCTTCAGCATGTCTTATTTTGCTTTTGAATTTTTAACAAAATTTTACATTTCTTGATGAGTTTAATAATTAAGGAGAATTATGTATTAAAATATACATCGGTGTTATCTAAATTATATTAAAGGAACTTTCTTGTTGTCTGAATCATAAAATTACACAAATAATATGTGTAGAATGAAATATAGATAGGAATAGAACAATAGCAGAAATACGGAAAGAAATCCGATGTCAAGGCGAAATAAAAATGTTTGCATTTAAAAAATAAGATTCGAATCTCTACAACGCACATTTCTCTTCCCAAATTTTATACTATTCATTTTATAATGTTTACGTAGAATTTAGTATTTTCCATTTTCAACCATTTTGTTTTCGTTCGATCATATCTTTCCCTATGCAGTGTACCATTTGTTCTCCTTTTTAAAAAAACAGGTGAATTTATTATATGTAATTAAAATATACAACTGAGACGCATATTGCTCGATTATCATTATATAAGAAAGTATATATATTATATATATTATATATTACTTTCCTTAGTAAATATATACGAGCAACTTATGAGGCACTTACGAGGCATACAGCAAATATTTACTAGTTTTTTCATTGAAACTGCTTGTTTTCTCATAAGTTATTTTCACACTTAGGAGGCATAGTTTTCGCTTGTTTTCTCATAAGTTATTTTCAAAACTTATGAGGCATACAGCAAATATTTATTTGTTTTTTCATAGAAAGATCAAAAGACAGGCATAGTTATAATTATCCATTCCAATTTAATTAACCGGTTTCTGAATTTCAAATAATGGCAATCATATTGGAAGAGAAACACGACAAAATTGAAAATTACCCAAAAAGGTAAGAATAATTTGGTGTAGGTTTTGAATAAAGGTCGATTTCAAGGGCGTCAGGTCTTGGATCTCTCTTCTTCAGAAGAAAAATGTTTTGCAAAAAAAAAAAAAAAAAACAGGAGCGGTGGCAAATATTACAAATCAAAAGCAGTCGATGAATCAAAAGGGAAACAAACATAGCGCCATTTTGTTTCTGAAAAATATTAATGAAAAGTTAAAAACTAAGATATAAACCAATTAATATAATTTCAAAGGTTTATTACAATTTGTCTTGCCAGTTAGCTTAATTTTGGTTATCCATGTGCCTCTAGTTTGGTATCTATATGGCTTTTTTCTTTGTTCTACGCATTACTTTCGATATAAATATTAGCCACATTTCTCATTTTTACAAAATATTTCTACTTCCGAAGGGGGACCTGCAAGACAAGAGGAACACGAAACGGGACCTCGAAATGGTTAGAGTTTAACTCAAAATCTGAGCCAAACTACGATTTCTATCTTTGCTGAACTCCAGATAACGATCAGTTGTAAAATTTACATTTCTCACTAATTTTTGCCGTTCATGTTTTTATTTCTGTGTTTATCAAATCAAAACACTTTTTATGGAATCGTAGTATCATTTAACGGGAAAAAACTCTAAAGTGAAGAATTGCTGCCATTCAGGAGTTGGGTAGGCAATAATGGGAACGGCAAGATTTTTAAATGTCTTGACAGAGACATTCGGTAGAAACAAGATCACAAACTCGAAAACAGAAATTAGTTTTTCTTTAGAAACAGTTCGAGTACTGGTGGGAGGCAGGACTAAATCATATAAGGTACACAATCTTTAAACAGCTTCACAGAAGACATACATGTTTCTAGGTAAAAGGGACAAAATGGTATCTGTTTGTAACTGTCTGTTTTGACACCGGGATTGTGGTTAGTGACGTTATCTGCCGTACCGAAGGGCCCGGAATCGAACCATGGAGAAGGCATGGATGTTCATAAATGTATAGTGCATGTACGGAATGGAGGCATTCTATCTGCGAGCCGAAAGTCCTCTTGAGAGGTTGATGGTAGGATAAGAGGAATAGGAGACCCTAGTGTCCATCCCCCGGGGTGTTATCTTTTAAAATTAAAGTCGTATTCTCATTTGTATGGTGCTCAAGATTCTTGCCAACGACAGGCTCAATCTTGCACTCCTTACCACAATACATTTCGTGGGCTTGATCTAATGTTACTTTGAGATAAATGAGATAAGTCACAACAACACAACAGCAATATTTCAGACGCAAATGAAACTTCTAAATCGAATCAAACTCTTTATAGAGAACGCTAAAAGTGGCTACAATGGCTGATTTTTGTTCATTGTTGGTGGTGCGTGAATAGATGACCAAACCTTGGTTAATCAAAGAAACAGGCATTTCATTTCATTTTTATCAAATGTTTTGTTTCACTAACTTAGGAATTAACAGAAGACCTATTGATGCACAGAACATTAGAGATGGATACTTAACAAAAATGTGTTAATGATCTTTTCAATGATCAGTGAACATTCAGTTTAAGGTCTGATC